AAATCAAAACACTTTGGATTTACAGTGCATCAAAATATTTCCAGTGCTTACCTCAGTATAGCGGCCTTGATACATATGTTAAGAATACACCATAAAACGTTCCAAAAGTTGATGTTTTTTTTTGGATAAAATACGACTTAATTAACATTGTCTCGACAATATTTACACCACTAACGCACACGCTTCTCTTTCACTTGCATTAAACATGTGGTGAGTCTAGGTTATTCAATGAAAATGGTCTAGAAACACAACACTTAAATTCGGAATAGACCTATCATGTTGTTGTTTATTTTTAAAAACCTTTTATACCTCCATGCTTATACATAGACCCAGGTATTCAAACTTTTAAGCCTGGGGTTAGTTCCAATCTATTGAGACCAGTGGCGGGCCGACATAGTGTACTTCCATTTTTTTTTCTATGTCACCCCCACCCATTTTTTTCTTATAGCGGTAGATTTGCAATAGAAGGGCCCAGTGAATAACTTTCACAGATACAATGAGCTAGCTACACTCAGAAAAAGCCACACTCTTTCTTGTAAATAATGCTAGAGTAGGGGTACATAGGTGGTGTTTCTATAAACAGAAACTTTTTTCTAAAAATCGGCCGGAAAATTATTTATTTTTAGCAATGTTGCGCAGGCCGGATCAAAATCTTTGGCGGGCCAGCGTTGGCCAGCGGCCCGGGGGTTAAATAACGGGGACATAGGATATGTGTTTAAGTCCATATATGATGTCTACAAAACGAAGACGAAAAACTTCCTCATTATTTTTTTCTTGAATCGTGATAATTTTTGTTTGTACATATAATAGAATATTGGTAGGCCTACGTTCATCGTTCTAACACATTCATTACACACATAATAGGCCTATGTATTGTAATAAGAGTGAGAAAAATATACCTGACCGTTTTCAAAAAGGGAAAACATTGAATTTTAAAGAATTAAAAACTCACTTCCCCCCATCCAGAAATAAAAATTATCCCGGGGAGAATCCGGACCCTCTTGGGGTTCATCGATTTATGAAATCGTTTTCAAGAGGGTGAAAACCTTGAACTTTAAAAACTTAGAAGTCATTAAAAGACACCTCAGAAGTTGGGAAAGCTCATTTACCGCCATTTAGGTATCAAATTTTTTCCGGGGTGGACCCCCGGACCGCCATTCGTTTTGGGGTTGTTTGGAAACATTTTTAATTTTATCAATATTGTTATTATTCATCAATGTTGTTATTATTTACATACCCGCGTTATGCAAATTAAAATATCAGCATTATGGAAATTAATATTAATTTTATCAATATCGTTATTATTTACATACCCGCATTATGCAAATTAATATATCAACATTATGGAAATTAATAAACAACCATATATAAATTAATATACCAGCATATGCAAATTAATATACTAGCAAAATATGAAATCAATATACCAGCATATGCAAATTAATATACCAGCATATGCAAATTATTATTACGTAATCAGCCATTGTTATGCAAATGGTCTCAGGTACCATATACTCTACTTTTAAGACAAGGTTTAATAACCACAAGAAATCATTCAATAATAAATCATACGAAAAGGAATCTGAAATGTCTAAATATGTGTGCAAACTAAAAAATGAGAATACCAAATTTAAAATAGAGTGGAACACAGTAAAGCGCTCATCCGTAAAGCGCAGGTTTGGTAATTGCAAACTTTGCATGGACGAAAAATTAGCTATCCTTAATGCTAATAAGACAACTTAATAAAAGGTCCACCTGATCGCAGCTAATATGCAAAACACCTTTGTATGTAAGAGAGTAGTATGTGCAAACAATCAGTCTATCTGAGGATCGTGATACAGTGGAACGTGCAGCATAGACACTCCCGTCCATCTGTCCAGTTAACATATGTACATATATATATATATATATATATATATATATATATATTATATATATATATATACAGTATATATATATATATATATATATACATTTATGTTGATATTGATACAATACTATATCTGAAATAATGACAATGTATCTATGTATGATGTGTATAATGTTGGAGATGACCTGCCTGCTGCAGTGATATTCTGATTTTAAATCATTGTCCTGTACATTACAGTACATAATTAAAAAGCGAAATCAAAAACAAGAAATTCCCCTAGGGTGCTCTTATCTCGATCCCTCACCCCGACCTTTCCAACATCTCTTGATTCCTGATGATGACATAATTAATGTCGAAATATTGAATCCCAACACGATGGCGTGTATTTCAATACTTGGAGTATGTATTATACTTTCTTATCTGAGATTAATCAGTGGACCTTTCGATCTCTTGATCCGTGTCCCTATAAAATTCTTAATTTTCCTATTATGAACAAGTACGCATACAATAATTACAAGAGAGCGTGACACAGTTTCAATCCAATTTTGTTATTAATATACAAAAACACTGAAATATATTTCGGTTTAAGCACCAAGGTTTTTAACAACTGAAATGTTTGAAAGGAAACTCTCTTAAAAAATAATTTTCTTTTTCTCTACTAACTGATTCGATGTGCAACAACTGTACCACGAAATATGGGCTGTACTAACTTAGCTCTGATTATTCACATGGTGAGAACCATGAATGCAGGCGTAATCGATTGAATAGAATTTTAAATTGGGGTTGAAGTTTCTTTTAGGTGCATGTTTTTTGGCAGAATCGATGCTACGTGAAGATCGTTTATATAAATTTATGTAATTTTCTTTCTCCCAATTCGATACAGCTTCTGACAATTTTTCATAGCTTGTGAAAGTGCCATGGAGACGCAAAGTGTCTTCATCTGCCATCTTGAAACTTCACCAAGTGCACGCTACAGAAAAAAAAAATATTTGCACATGCTCAATAGGACGTTTTCGTATTCACGAAGCAAGCGGCGCCCTTCAAATAGATCGGCGTAAGCATAGCCTATGATTAATGCTTACTACTCGGTGTAAGCATAGACGCTTCGTAAAACATAATTGATAAAAATTACAAACTTAAAAATATTCAAAATATAACTGAGAAATTGGGTAGTGAACTTAAAATTAAAGAAATAAAAACAATAATACAGTAACAATACAATAATATAAAAACACATTTGTTTACACATACACAAATATATCCATCCCTACTCAATCAACTAACCCCCTTTTTTTCAAATTTGATCCACACAGGCCTAAATAAAACAAACAATTTCATACAAATAAAAATTAAACTACAGTATATTGAAAATTCAATATACTACAATACACAATACTTTCTGGCTGCCTAGCCTTAGGCTAGCGGGTTGGGTAAGCTAGGCATGCTCGTTCGGGGGCTAGTACGCTAGTCTACTAGGACTGGGTCTCATTCTCAACCCTTTCTAGCCTAGTAGTACAGAGATCTCAAGTCTCCCGAAAATAGCGGGTTTCTCCCGATTTTTGAGGCCGTCTCCCGCCCTCCCGATTTTTATTAATAATCTCCCGATTTTTTTAAATATCCCGAAAATTTCACGAAAAATGTGATTTCCACGATGTCATAGAGCAATAAAACAAAATTTCTTATCTTAAGCCAATATACTATGGCACTCGCTCAGCCTTAAAATGTCGTAAACAAGACCAGGGAGTTGTTATTTAAGTTGTTTATCAAAATAACAACTCCATGGCAAGGCAGGCCTAGATCCGTGGTAGAATCGCCTTGTTTATCCTCCATGTTACGATCTTTTTCATCCGCGCGTGTCAGTTGAGTAAATAAATTTCAACAAATTAACGAAATTTGAAATCACATCGGAATGGATGCCCCAAGTTTTTTCGTCATGAAGATTTGAAACTTTGTAGAATCGGTGCATAAAAAATACTTTTTCTTTCAAGTAAGCTTCAGTCCTTTAATAACAATACTAAAAAAATCATAGTAGGTTTTGGTACTAAGTAGTCTTCCGAAAAATGAAGTTTATTTTAATATCAATCCTGAAATACATGTAGGCCTAGGCTCTATCTGCACTGCAGGGTATGTGTGTTGTGTTGAGTGGGCGTCTGTATGTAGTGGTGGTCGTGACTCTGCGGCCTTAGGCCTAGTTACGCACGTACAGATGGAGCCTAGCGAGGCAAGATTTAATGTTTTTTCATGCCATTATGTACCAATTATTATAGGCTAGACATATATAAATGCTGACTTAAAACATGTAGTATGATTTACTAACTAAATTAAAATATATATATTTTTTAATTTTTTAGCAAACATGTAGATCTTGCAAGTTGCAGTTACCTTGCTAGAATTCTATGCTCTTTGAAGAGATGTAGTAAATCAGCCATAGCCTCTAATATGCCAATGAACCAAGCAAAGCCTTGTTGACTGCTGCCAAGAATGCTTTACCAGCAAAATTCTAAATAAATAATAATATTTATAAATTTATATTTTAGGCCAACTGCAATGTGTAAAAAAATGTAAAATTGTTAAATAAAAGTAAACAAATTGATGAAAATTGTTTGTTTTCTTCATTTTGTGTAATACTTTCATGTTGCACAGTGCGTCGTAAGGCGTCACAGCGCGTTGCTACAGGAGGCGATTGCTTCATGAAAAAAATCTCCCTATTTTTTTGTTTTCAAACTTGGGATCTCTGGTAGTAGGTCTAGCAACCACACAGACAGCACACTTTTAGTTTTATGTACTCATTCAAATCAAGCTTTTCATCTAGGCCTATAGACTATCTATCTAGATTCTAGTCTATTTAACCGGAGACCTTTCTGTCATACTGTAGAGTTTTTTAATTGTGCGGATGATACCTCATAAACCAGCTCATATTTGCGCAGAAAATTGCTAGGAAAATAGGTATCGTAAATACTGCGCATTAATACATTGTTATATACATATATATATATTTCTTGCAAGTCGAGTGGCCGAGCGGTAAGGCAGGGGCGCCGCTAGCTACAGCCTTAACATCGGCGCTGGTTCAAGCCACTCCTCGCCCATGGTTTGGTCGGTAGAACCAAGTCTTCTTGGATAAGGACTTAAAATGGAGGTCCCGTGTATACGTCTGACTTGTGTGCACTTTAAAGAACCCATTGCATCTTTCGGAAGAGTAGAGGGTTATCCCGATGTTATGGTTCATTTCAGCCCCTGTCGTTGTGGAATGATGTGAATATTTATCTACCAAGAAGAGCATCTTTACGGCTGGTAAGTAGTCACGGACCACGCCCATACGTAATTCAGCACAATGATGCTGCAAGTTATGGGTTATTCTCCTACCTTTACCCTATTTAAAGATTAGGTCAAAAAAAGCCTAATTTTTGGCAAAATATGCACGGAAATTGTCCCTTATTTCCCTAAATGAACGGACGGATTTCTAGGCCAGATTTTTACTATACAGTCTGGCCTGACTGTAGGCCTAGGCCTATATTTCTTGAATTGAAAAAATACCCACATTGAATTACTGTAACTATTATCTCCAAAATTATCTAAATAAAAACAGTTTGTGTTTTACAGCATGCAGCGGATAAACTTAGACATCTGGTTCATGTGGGAAACACAAGTGTCAAGGATAAAATATCCATAGAATTCTACGGTATGTTGACTAAAAATAGAGCACCTTTTTTTTATTCAATTAAAAAAAATTAAAAAAAATAAAATAAAAATATAAAAAAATATTTTTAAAATAGAGCACCTTTTTTTTTATTCAATATTTTTTTATCATTCAATGCATACATATAGAGCACATGGGTTTTGAAAATCACTTGGCTTAAATCTAATAAAAATCCCAATTACTGTGGCAGTGCTGTCTGCTAGGAGGTATTCAGTGTTGCTCTTGAACTTTAACACTACTTTTATGACTGTAGTAGTAAATATGTGTGTAAAACTATTATTACACAATTAGCTTAAATTTCTCCCTCCCCAATTAATTTCCATTTTCTAATAACAATTCCCTGCTATATAAATGTATGTTTGTCAATATTACTATGTATAGTGTAACTTATCTTTGTACTGCATCCTTACGACTGTTGTATGACTGCTGGCAGATAAGTCTTCCCCAGGTCTCTGAGATCGCTTGATGAAGTGACGCTGCCAGCATGCTGATTGTCATTGAAAATTATCTGTTTCTCGTGCCTCGTTAACTTGCATTCTCCAAGAAATTGTGTCTGGTATGGTAGGTGTAGTGTGTGCCCCTAAAAATAGTGCAATAAACAGTACCGTAAATGCTTGAATAAGCGTCGCAACAAACCTGATTTTTTTAGCTAAGCACTGCAGCACTTGATCGAGAGTACAGTCATATATTACCCTGTGCGTAATGAAACACTTTGAGAAACAGTGTTTTAAATATAGTGTATACAGTGTTAAAATATATTACACAATAAAGACACATGCATTTCTTTGTAGACATTTATTTATGATGATGTAGGACCTATGATAGGCCTACTGAACTACGGGGATACGTGAGATAGGTAACATAGGAACAGGTAAGCGCCTCGCCAATATTTTTTATAAGTGCCGCTCTCAAATAAGGACCACACTGAAGACTCCAACAATTTTATAAGCATCACGGCGCTTATTCGGGCATGTACTGTACTTGTAGTAACTTTCATGACTTGATGATATTTACCATTGGTCCATGACTTTGAATTCTCACCTACAGGAGATGGCAGACATGGAACAGTACGCTTTGACAAAGAAGCATTCGCAGCAAAGGTAAAATTAAGTTGATTATATCATTCACATTTTACAGAGATAATGTATCAGCAAGTCTGCATATCCAAGGGTGATCTAAGGTTTTGAAGTTCCCATACCTACCAGTTACATGTTAAGCTTATAATAGGGCTCCAGACTTTTGTCATGGTGATTTTGTTGCTTTTGGGGCTCCAAGACACTTGTCTAAATAAATAAATGATATGAAATGAAATAATGATGTAATATCTGTATAGCGCCCTCTGTTGGACCTAGTTCAACAGAGGGCGCTATACAGATATTACAATAATCATCAGGAAGTTATTAATAGAGTACAGTGTACTGTACTGTATATTATTTTACTATAGCTCTGTCCACACTATCAAAATATCTGACAAAAAAACTGCTGTATGCCCATAAATAGCCATGATGTGCCTATATATGGTCATGATGTGATGTCATCATGACCATATTTAGACATGTGACATGTTTTATTTTCCAATTAAACTTTGATAGTCTGGACAGGGTATTATGCTGTTTGTTTTGTTTTAAACTTGAAACCAATGACCTCCATTTTATAGATGTATTTAGAATGGGACATAGGAAATCAATTAATTAAGGCATGTAAATATCATGAAAACTGACCCCCTCAAGGGCTTTGCCACCTGGTCCTTCTGTGTCCTTCCAGGAACTCTAGGCAGCTGCAAGCCTCTATCCATTTAGCTGTGTCTTTGTAAATTGAATCAAAGACTTTGAAACACATCATCATCATTATTATCATCATCATTGTCATTTTAATCATTCATTCTTTACCATTATCATAATAATAAAAGACTACAAAACTTTACACAATTACTGTATATCATTGCAATGGAAATAATATTACTGATTGTTTTTGTTTGTATTTTTCAGTTGGTGGACATACCAACAATATTAGAGTCCTATAAAACAGTTGATAAGAAAACAGTCTTCAAAACTGCAGATATATGTCAGGTAAGCTGGAGTTTCATACGCAGTATTTCCATTCATTTGCGATTCTATACTATGTTAGAAGTCTGGTGGCAATGAACAGTGTACCTACATATTGGTCTGTCAGTGTTGTAATTTCATACGTTGCATAATAGAAGACCAAGAGTCCTTTGTGATTTGCTCAAATCTTTCCAAATGGGACGAATTGTTGGATGGGTTCCTGACGGTACAGCTTTCCCCTGTCATGAAAAAACAACTCAACTGACAATTTTTTCAAAATGCACCTTTTTTAAGCGTTTTGCACTTTTAGGGACATAACACACCTTGTGATGTATTCAGATTTTTGAAATTGTAACGGGAAATATGAAATTTAAAAACTAAAATATCACTCAACTGCAAGTCTGTGTTACTTTTGTCAGCAAAGACGCACTCAACTGCAAATGTTATGAAAGACTTAACTTGACTGGCATTTATTACCTATTATGTAATAGTTTATCATGAGAAACCCACTCAACTGCATTAGCTTGGTTCACGTCGAACTTTTATCTAGATATACATCCACTTAACTAGTTAAAAGTTCGACGTGAACCACTCAATTATAGCTAGTTAAAGGAATTAAGTCACTTAAGTGACTTAACTTTACTAGAATAATGGTAAATTAACTTGCTTAACGGTAAAGTCGGCTCGGATTACAAGGACACGATTACGTAACGTAGGCATCTAAGCCAGCTTTGTTGTATTGTACCACTATTATCATCTTCTGGCTGGCAACAAGTACTTCAACAATGCTAACAACAGCATCAAAGTAGTCTCATTCGTCTGGTTTTCAGAAATTATTTGTAATATTTTGGGTAAACACCCAGCAAACGTCCGTTTTACGAATAGTCGATATTACCAATGACCTTTGCCCTTTGCATCATCGACCAAGTAATAACGTTAAAAGTCCGATTGCGTACATTTTTCAAAGTGATAATGTATATTTTTCTTAATAATAAAATCAGATTTGTTGTATTTATTTATTGACAATTCAATCTTTTCTATTTCTGCTTTAATAGTCGCTATTAATTCAATTTCAACGAACTACCACCAACGCCAGTCATTAAAATGAGCGCACATGTTTACGATGACGAAATAAAAAAGTGTGTGGAAGTCAGCAACTTCTTTGAAACCGCGAAGCTAGATTGTCGCGAAGTGCATGTAAAAACACAATTGAGCGATCTAAAAACTACAAAACAGGACAGAAAGGTCCATAAAGTATACATACGTTTTAATGAAAATTAAAACAATATTGTTAAATGGAAGAATGCTAGCTAGCGATTAAAATAATTCGTTTTTTATCGAAGGTAAATGTAGCTAGGGCCAGGGCCTAGAGAATCTACCACTTAGATTGCGATAGAATACGCTGCTGCACTGGTCGTTGGTTCATACTGGTCGGCTAGGTTAAGTAGTGGAAACTCACACCTTCTCTACAGTAGTTTACAATTTTTTTTGAACGAATACCACTTGGTACTAGAGGTTCGTAAAATACACATCTAGATGTGTATAAGAGACAGATATAGCTCTGTCCACACTATCAAAATATCTGACAAAAAAACTGCTGTATGCCCATAAATAGCCATGATGTGCCTATATATGGTCATGATGTGATGTCATCATGACCATATTTAGACATGTGACATGTTTTATTTTCCAATTAAACTTTGATAGTCTGGACAGGGTATTATGCTGTTTGTTTTGTTTTAAACTTGAAACCAATGACCTCCATTTTATAGATGTATTTAGAATGGGACATAGGAAATCAATTAATTAAGGCATGTAAATATCATGAAAACTGACCCCCTCAAGGGCTTTGCCTCCTGGTCCTTCTGTGTCCTTCCAGGAACTCTAGGCAGCTGCAAGCCTCTATCCATTTAGCTGTGTCTTTGTAAATTGAATCAAAGACTTTGAAACACATCATCATCATTATTATCATCATCATTGTCATTTTGATCATTCATTCTTTACCATTATCATAATAATAAAAGACTACAAAACGTTACACAATTACTGTATATCATTGCAATGGAAATAATATTACTGATTGTTTTTGTTTGTGTTTTTCAGTTGGTGGACATACCAACAATATTAGAGTCCTATAAGACAGTTGATAAGAAAACAGTCTTCAAAACTGCAGATATATGTCAGGTAAGCTGGTGTTTCATACGCAGTATTTCCATTCATTTGCGATTGTACTATATTAGAAGTGAACAGTGTACCTACATATTGGTCTGTCAGTGTTGTAATTTCTTACGTTGCATAATAGAAGACCAAGAGTCCTTTGTGATTTGCTCAAAGCTTTCCAAATGCGATGAATTGTTGGATGGGTTCCTGACGGTACAGCTCTCCCCTGTCGTGAAAAAAACCACTCAACTGACAATTTTTTCAAAATGCACCTTTTCATCGTTTTGCACTTTTAGGGACATAACACACCTTGTGATGTATTCAGATTTTTGAAATTGTAACGGGAAATATGAAATTTAAAAACTAAAATATCACTCAACTGCAAGTCTGTGTTACTTTTGTTTGCAACGACGCACTTAACTGCAAATGTTATGAAAGACTTCACGTAACTGGCATTTAATACCTATTATGTAATAGGTTATCCTGAGAAACCCACTCAACTACATAGTGCTGCATATTGTTTATCATTGAGAAAAACGATTGTCTAATGTATATAACATTACTTTCACAATGTAATCATTATAAACAATATCTTTACAGGTGCACAATATTGGTATTAAGGAAACATTATCTCATACTTTTTTGGCATTAGTCATACTAGCAAAGTATGGATATCGATCTTTTTTTCTGGCAGGGGACCATTATGGAACCAGCTCCCAATAGGTATTAAGGAGGCATGTTCTTGACCTTTTTTTAAGGACCACCTAAAAGCATAGATTATTATAGGGCACTATTTATTACCTATGATATTATTATTACTTATATTTAACTTATTATTTACCTTATTAACTTAATTATGATTATCCTATTATTATTATTATTTATTATTATATTTATTTTATACAGTTCAACATATTTCACCTTTATGTGAAAGACAAAATAGGATGAATTTCTGAAAAAGGAAACTATAGAAAACAATTTTTTTAAAATGATAAAATACGATTAAACAGAGAAGTCATTGAAGAAAAAAAAATAAAGAGAGCATTGTCCGAAAATAATGGTAGAAATACCCACAAATACAATTGCAAATCATTTTTTTTTTTTAATTTTCATTAAAAATATAATCACATTTAAATTTAATTATCTGCAATCTTCAATTTTTTTGAAGCCTAACAATCTAGTCCTAGATTAGACAATCATAAACAGGGTGCTATATTGAGTATGCATGCTTCTGTATTCTATGTCTCTGCCATCATAGTAAAAAAATTGGCCTAACCCTAAATTTACTCACAAAAGTTGATATAATACACTTATCATCTTAATAAGTAATATTATTTAAAAATATAACATGTTTTATATTCAATGAATACTTTAGTTGAGTTGATTCTTTCATGGCATGCATACTCAATATAGCACCCTGTTTATGATTGTCTAATCTAGGACTAGATTGTTAGGCTTCAAAAAAATTGAAGATTGCAGATAATTAAATTTAAATGTGATTATATTTTTAATGAAATGCAGTTGAGTGAGTCTTTCATGTTTTTCTTTCATGTGATTGACCTGGTATGTCATGAAAAAACAATAAATGTGACATATTGCATATTATATAGAGTAATTAAAAATACAAGTTCTACACAATGAACTTATAAAATCTCTAAAATCGTGTGAAAATAAGGATTCAATTATTTACGCGTGGAGAGAGCAAAGACAATAACATGTTTTGTTGATTATCTCAGAACTTTGTTAAATGCAGTTGAGTGAGTTTTTCATGACAGAGCTATTCATAGCCATTTTTTCATGTGACATGCCCTAAATACAGTATGGTCATGAAATATCACATCATGACCATATATAGGCACATCATGACTATATATGGGCATTTAACATCTTCTCATGTCTTTGGATTGTAGATGCTTGTTTGTTCAAATGAAGGAGATGACAGTGGAAGTGGTCGAGAGGAAAAGCCTTCTCCGCACAAGAACACCGGCAAAGTCGACAAGAAGTTTCTATGGAACCATGGATGTGCGTTGAAAACAAAACAAATGATTAATAAATATATACCATTTTAAAATATACTGTATAACATTTTGGTTCAAAGTATTCTATGAAGTTTTCTATATCAAATAACAATAAGAATGTATTGATATTTCAGGTTGAGTGCTTTTTTCGTCTTCAGGAGAAGGCTTAATCAATCTTTTAATTGTTTTTGTTTTTTAGTAACACCACCACTAAAGAATGTCAGAAAACGGAGGTTTAGGAAAACAGCCAAGAAAAAGGTAAAATCTTCTACTGTAACTCTGACTATTATTTTTAGCTGTTCCAATAAAACTGTAGTAAAGAATTTTTTATATTACAGTAGCCATCAACGTCATGGTGTGTGCATGCTCTTGAGGCACAGCGTGTATTCACTTTCACTTTGTGGTGTTGTTGCATATATTTACTGCCTGCGACATGTAACAAAGTATTTTGAAGATGATGGTATCTCAATAGGAAATGCATATCAATGTTTTTACTTTCTTTTTGTGGTACACTGAACCTGGTATTACAGTAGTTAGTGGTGTATCTAGCAGTCTTGAAATCAGGGACCTGAAGGGTTGGGTGCACGAATGTAGAGTGGGGGCCTCAATGGTTAATTGAGGGGGCCTAGTCCGCAAAATGAGGTGTTTTTAAACTGCTTGAATTGATTTTTTGCTTCAGACATTTGTGAGGGGGGCGGGGGGACAACAGGGGTTTTCGCAAGCTATTTTGTGCGGCTTGTTCCCCAGCACACCCCTAGATATGTCACTGGTATTAGTTCATTTAACTGGATACGAGAATAAAATTGTTAAAGATTGATGCCTTAAATAAATTTCAATATTTATTCTTTTACTTTCTTGTAGTACATTGAATCACCAGATATTGAGAAAGAAGTTAAAAGACTATTGAGAATGGACAGTACCGCTATCAAAGTCCGTATCCTTTCATCTGTTTTATACTATTTTGAGTAATCTTATCTATTTTTTGAACTTCTCAGCAGCATTTGACGCTTGCCATCCTAAAACCAGCATCACTAAATGAGTAATTAACATATGAATGTGGCAGTATTGTATACTTTAGGCAGAAAAGCCGTAATACATTTATTCGTAACTTTGGTAATACAGTAGCAAGTCAATTCCAGTAAACGACCCATCATGTTGAAGCTTACAATGTGGAGAATAATGATATATTAAAGTCAGTTTTCTCTTTTGTGGTCACTGGTGCTGTCTGTCAGTCATGTTAACAAAAAAAATAATAATTAAAATAAATTCTATTTTTCAGATACTATCATCATTTTCTCTCTTGTTCAGTTCTATGTATATATCTATTTATTTTTTTCATAGTGTTATTTTTGGGCTAGTTAACTAGGTCCCTATACATGGTTACAATCCTTATATTTTTTTAAGGATGGGAAGTATTGCCTGATAAAGATGGCAAAGAAGACACAAAAAGTGAATTACAAATAGGTATGTTGGTTTTTAATTACATATTATTAGGGACCTCAGACAATATGGAGTTTGCGTATTATTGTTAATTATGTATGTTATCAGTGGTGGATTCAAGGAAGGGAGTCAAGCCCATCCACCACCCTCCCCCCTCCCTAGATTTTGTAAGGTTATAAAAAGAAAAAAGAAAATTATATTAAAATATAAAATCAGAGAATGTCTAGAGGTAGCATAATGGTACATTTTCTTCCCTCATCCCCAACCATGGTGGGTCTGAAGTTGTTTTGACGCTCTATTTTCGAAAGTCCTCCCCTGGGCCCACTGTATTTCAAATTCCTGGACCCACTTGTGATATAACATCATCTTGCATTTTAACATGATTTTGCATTTTTAATGGCAAAATTGTCATATAAATCCTGATAGTGAGACTAGGACTTAACAAGATAATTTCTCTTCAGATGGCAATGACTGGAAACAGATCTTTGAAGAGGTTAGTAGCTCAGAGAATGAGGAAGAGGAAGAAGACGTCAACATCATGGAGGTCGGGGATTCCCAGCAAGGCATGCAGGAGTACTTGGTATTCTAACTTATATTCCCCCATATTACACAAATATGGCATCAGATTAACTGTTATCCCTTCTCTTTTGAAGTTATCTGCACTCAAAATAGCCACTTTGTTTAACGACACAATTTTTTTGTGATTTTCAATGTCACCCTGGCTGAGTTACAAAATGTTGTGGTTATGTAGGTAGCTGGATATAGATAGCTGGAAATGGCACTCTCAGACTTAAATTTGGATTTAATTATAGTTTTTTTATTTAAAAAAAAAATAGGGGGACTGTGCTGGCTGGGCAGTCTGGTAGCATAACATGTGATGAGTAGGATTGCTTAAGAAAATACTTTTTTATTTTTCAGCAACGATTCCAATCAAAATTAGATGAAGTCTTGGTGGAGATGAAGAAACGAGAAGAAGAGGTAAACTTTTGTGAATTCCCATAAGTGTACATTTATTTTTAAATTTTAATTGCTGATTAAATATTGGAAAAAAAAAATGTTCTGTAGTGAACTTGTATACTGTTTTGACTATTTGTTTTTCGACTATTGCACCTCTTCCCAACCAGTTCAGGCTGTGTATATTTATACACTGCCTTGTTTACCTTGATTACAGCATGCTTCCACAAAATTACAACTGTTGTTTTATAGACACAGTCTTGGTCATTGGGACTTTAATCAAGATTTTGTCAGTTTGAGACCAATGCTTTTTCTGCTCTTTCCTAACTTCACCCAGGAGTATAAATGGGTACCTGGTGGAGATGAATGATCTAGAAGAAAATGGTAGAGTGCTTGATTCCATGCATTTTTATAAATGAACTCCAAATAGCGGAGGAGGCTGCACATTGTGCGTGAATTGCTTCTGTATCCAATGAGAAAATAGTGCTTCTAGTAGTACCTTAAATATAATGTGCACTGTATCGATCTTATATAAATTTACTTATATACCGACTACATAAATTCCAGGCATTTGATTGGTTAAAAGCTGGGAAATAGTTCCAGCTGTGCCTTCTAATGTCTACAATCTATGTAGTGGTATATAAAACAAATATTTACTTGGGTTTTATCGGGTCGTAGTTCAAAATATAGCCCTTGTTGATGTCCGATGTTTCTCGACTTTGTCTCGGGATATAGTACAGCCACCAGATCACCTCGGGCTATATTTTGTAACTATGACCAGATTAAAACCCAGTAAATATTTGTATAATATATCTTCTTTTTTTTCAGATGGAAACTTTGAAAGTGCTTATTGGTCCAAGCTGAAATTGATGAGCTGAACTGATCGCTGAATAATCTGATGAGGTGTTACAGGGCAGAGAAAAACCAATTGGAAAATCATTCATCAAAGCATAGAGCTGCTCTAATACCAAGTGTTGACATGTTTACATGCACAATGCTTTTTTTCATTGATCATAAACGTTGATGGATGGAGATTGTAATTTAGTTGGTTAAACTACCATCTTTATTCGAATAACGCCCTGGGGGCATTTATTGTTGAGAAGGGTTTTTGAGGATTTGTGTTATTTGGATGCAGAAGCGGTTGGCCTATCGGTTGTGGCTTGGACTCCCAACCTCGAGGTCGGGGGTTCGAAACTCTCACTGCGCAAATCGCTTGTGTCCTTGGGCAAGGCACTTTATCTACGGTTGCTTTTCTCCACCCAGGAGTACAAGTGGGTACCTGGTAGGTTCCAACACAACTGCGCTGATTACTAGCCGCAATATTATGGAATATTAATATAATTTAACTTAATAATTTAATTTGGTGTTCAATGTGTTCCATACGTGTTTGATCCAATGACCGGGGTAGTAATGTGAAGCACTTAGAGGCTTTGTAAAGGCATTAAGCGCTATATAAGAACGACATATTATTATTATTATTATTATTATATACTCAAATATAAGCCTCTTAATTCCACTGTAAATGAAAAGCTACAATACAATACATAATTACCATCCTAATGTGTTATTGCATGATCATGAAGACTTAATGATCCCAACCGTAAATTTAATTTTACTGGAGTAGAACATTAATACTGTAGAATGATGTTGCTTTCCATTATATTGGTTTACAATCGTTTAGGGGACTCTTATTTACGGGAAAAATTAACGCTCGGGGAATTTATTCAATGGAGGCACCTCCGAGGCCCCACTTTGAACATGGTCTTCAACTTGAACTTTATTTGAAAACACTTTTGGTTGAGTGGCACTCACCATCTAGTGGTGCATCCAAAGTACAAATAATTCCTCACAAAATACGATATAAATATACAAGTAAATAGTGAATAAAAAAACAAAATGAATAAATAGTGAATGTTTATGAGTACAATTGGAAGAAAATCCCCACGAGGGAAAGATGGACTGCCCCACTTGGGAGGCAGTGCCTAGCCAAATGGAGCAGTCCATTGTCTTCACTCACCCGTGTGCAAACACAAGACATTCAATGTTAGCTTGTAACACACCTAAAATAGGCCCTTGTCAATTAATAGGCCTACTGTATAAGATGAAAACAACTATAAATACATAAATATGAAGCAGAAAAAATATAACCACCACATCCAGCATTTTATCTATTTACAGACGTACAGAAATAGACCAAAAATCTACATAAATTTATCAAATAAATTGAAAATAAATAAATAAATAAAATAAATTATGCATATAGAAGCAGCAAAAATAAAACCACACACATCCAGCATATAACCTATTTACAGACATACAGAAATGGACCAAAAATCTACCTAAGTTTGTCTTTAGGACTAGACTCATTAATACATAGGTCTAAACATTGTCTAAAATTACTTTTGCATCAGGATCTTTGTCCAAAGACAGCTCAATTTAGATCTTGTCTGGTTTGCTTGAAATTTCACAGCAGTTTTTATCCTGTACCTATATTTTGCACTCAAAGACAAGGTATTAGGAAAAGTTGTATTTACTACAGATATTTGAAGACTGTGTTACTGAAATTCATTTTACTAAACTTGATAATTCTGTGGTGTGATCTTACTCTAAGAATATATGATGTTTACCCATCAGCATATATTAAAAAAAATAAAGTAAAATAAAGAATAAAATAAAATAAAAAAAGAACCAAAATATAAAGTAGAATAAAGATAATAATCATTGATCAAGAGCATTTAAGATTACAAAATATCAAACGACAAAAAAAAAAAATAAAAAAAAAAATAGGTGTTTATAAAATGACTTAAATTTAAACTAACACCACAACTTAATAACTAATAACTTAAATTCTAATAATAAAAAAATTTAATAACTGAACAGTTTTGTTTTGGAAAGATAAATTGTTGAATAGTATCAGAGGTCTAAGTTTGAATTAAATATTCCTTACAATGGAAATATAAAATTTGTCCACAATATTATATTTTCTATGGACTTAAACAGAAACTGTACTGTAAATTGAATTCTGTTGAACTTAGTTTTTGAATAAAAGTCATCAATCATCCGATCTCTGATTCAATGCAAATCAATTGATCAAGAGCACTTAAGATTACAAAATATCAAACGACAAAAAAAAAAAACTAGGTGTTTTATAAAATGACTTAAATTTAAACTAACACCACAACTTAATAACTAATAACTTAAATTCTAATAATAAAAAAATTTAATAACTGAACAGTTTTGTTTTGGAGAGGTAAATTGTTGAATAGTATCAGAGGTCTAAGGTTGAATTAAATATTCCTTACAATGGAAATATAAAATTTGTCCACAATATTATATTTTCTATGGACTTAAACAGAAACTGTACTGTAAATTGAATTCTGTTGAACTTAGTTTTTGAATAATAGTCATCAATCATCCGATCTCTGATTCAATGCAAAAACATCTCGATTACAAAAGCTCTCCCCTTCCGTAATCGCTATCCGTAAGTTATACTCTAATCATCGACCCATTCTCTGCCACAACTTCTGATATTAAGCAAGACATAATTTGATTTAACTTTAAATACAATTAATTGGTCTATTTGTTTAAAAATCCTTTATTCAATAATTGTATTATTATCTTGTTTTGTATTTATTTTATATATAACCATTGCAACCATTGTAAATAATTATTGTTGTTGCGGGTAATTGCCCTTGTTGATGGCATTCGTAGCTAATAAAATTGAATATATACAAATACTGTACATATTATCAAGCATAGTTTGTGTTTTGGTTTAATCTTTGATCCATTTTTATTATTATCCCAATACAAAAATACCAACTGAGGGCCGAAACGACTAAGGGCTGAAACGACCTGGGCCGAAACGACTCGGGCGGAAATGACCCGGGGCCGAATCGACTCCAGACCGAAACGACTCTACACCGCGAAGTGGGGCGGGTGGCACATGCCTTAATTTACTACTCTACGTTGATAGCGAGATTTTTTGATCGCCATTCAAATTTTAAATAAAATCGCAAATCCTCTCCTCCTTTTTGAAATTTTAGGAAATTGGTACATTCTTGTTCCTTTGTTGGATCGATTGCAGCAACCCCAAACCCAAAATAACGGTTCACATTATATAGCATTAATCATCTATCACAACTGCTAACTTCCTATCCTATCGCGTTAGTTTGTGGCTCGCCAATGTTTTGTTATGGCCGGTGTAAGTCATTATGATTGCGATCCAATCACACGCGTGTATAGCAGGATCCCGTAAAACCGAGTTGACCAAACTCTATAACTACGACTCTTGGGCAGATTGCTATAAAACGGTCCTAACTGGTAGTCTTAACTCCTCGAATAAAGCCGGCTTTATCACTTAAGCTGGTTTTCCACTAGGCGAATTTATTCCCGCGAATCAAAGCGTCGGTTCGCTTCCTGAGCTCTGATTGGTTGCGCATTTCTTCACTTCGCAAAAACCCAGATAGGAATGTAAACGCGCATGAGCCAACACTTGCGATTCGCGCGAATATATTCGCCTAGTGGAAAACCGGCTTTAGACGGTCTTACTAAAGTCATACCTCTAAGACCATTGCTATAAAATGGTCTTGAGTCTTTCCCAAGACTGCTTTGAATATTGAAATGCAAACAAGCACTCTCTGCTGGTAACGTAAGATTGAGGGCGACGTCATACGTGCTCGACGCACGCAAATGTATCGAAATGAACGCAAATAAACACCGTAGACCTATTTTTAGCCTACATATGGTGAGAAGTGTGTGGAGTATTAGTCGTTCAGTTCTCCACCTTTGACGATCTAGGCCCAGGTCTTGCCATTGCACCACTGTTGAATTAATCAGCAGAACGCCATGATTAAAATGATTGAAGATCGTTTTAAGTCTCCTCCGAGTCTATATGCTTTAAAATTTAAGACGGCTAACTGGTTCATAATCAGTAGTGACGTCACGATTATAGCCGGCTAACCGTTAAACCGGTTTTCCACAAGGCGAATTTATTCACGCTATTCACAAATTTGTACCTATACGCCTGCGCATTTGAGAATCTCGTGATGAAAACGTAACTGTTTTTGATTCGCGCGAATAAATTCGCGTAGTGGAAAACCAGCTTTAAGACCGTCTAAACATCGGGCAAATTAATGACAGAATTGGTAAAACTAATCCAATATTCGAGAACATAGATAATCATGATGATAGTAGGCCTACCATTAAACCAACTCTAAATGAACTATCCTTTTCATATGAAGTTGTAGCCTAGTTCAATCAATATCCTGTTGTAAAAATAATAAGAGCCCAGGTATCGACTAATGATTAAAAATTGAGGAGACATAATGGTACATCATTGTTTAATTTATTCAAAAGGCTGGCTGATCTAGGTGAACGGAACAAAGGTATAATAATACCATTGTTTAAGAAGGGTGACACTAGAGACATCAATAATTATAGAGGCATCACATTAAATTTGTGTGTATCAAAGATTTATAACACAATCATCTCCCAGACCGTGTCAAACTTTATTGAAGACCATGATCTCCTAACAGAGGTACAGGGCGGGTTCAGAAAAAGTTGACGCTGTGACATATTTTTGTTCTTAAAAACATTATTGCCACTCGCCAAACAGAAGGCAAGAAAACGTACTTAGCTTTCCTGGACTTCAAAAAAAGCATTTGACACGGTCTGGAGAGACGGACTTCTACTCGCAGTCAAACAACTTGGTATTAAGGGAAGTTTGGCTAATATTATCAGAGACCTATACACAGACGTAAAGTGTAAAGTCTTAGTCAGTGATCTAGAAACAGAATATTCCCTATTAATGAAGGGGTAAAACAATGCTGTTCTCTCTCTCTCTCCAATTCTGTTTTCAATATTTATTAATGAACTTAACAAGATGATCATTGAAAGAAAACTTAGGTGTCAGCATTTATAATGTAAAATAGGTAGTCTGTTTTGGGCAGACGACGTGGCATTTGTTGGTGAAAATGAAAGAGACCTCAATATACTATTACCGGCAGCAAGTGATTTTTCCAAGAAATGGAAGTTATCTTTTAAATTTGACAAATCCAGTGTTCTCATAACAGGACAACGAGTAAATCAATACAGGAAATGGAAACTAGGAAATGACTGTATAAAATCTAGAAAATGATAATTATAAATACTTAGGGGTTACCGGTACCATATCAGGCTCATTGACCCACACGTACCATATTGATGAAGTAATAAGAAAGGGAGAATTATAGCATACATAAAATCTATAATCAATGAACAGGACGACTTTAACATAATTTATTATGGTAACCTATTATGGAAGTCTATTGGCTTGCCAACCATACGGATGTTCAGTGTGGTTATGCAATGGCAAGACCCCTACAGAAAAGCTGGAAAACCTACAATACCAGATGGCTAAAATTATACTTAAAGGTCCCCGTAATGTTGCAAAAGAAGCTCTTGCAACATTACGGGGATTTAGGCTGGCCATCCATAGACTCCATTAAAAATAATTTTAGACTGTCATTTTAACAGGCTAAAAAATATGGAAGAAAAAAGATGGCCTAGGTTACTAATGAAAGCAATCCTGCAAGTACAAAATGTTGTAAGATGGAAATGGCCATATGCAATCCCAAATATACTACAAAAATGTAACATGTTAAATGTGTATAAAATCGAAAACGATGATAGCTGGATAAAATTATGCAAAATAGAGAACAAAAAGACCGACGCTAACTTTATTTAGGTACGGTATTTATTTTTGTACTTTATAGGGGTGTTTGTGCATGCTTGCAAGTGTGAATGCAAATACTGTATTGTAATACAAGCTATGCGGCTCGGTTCCAGTAGATACAGAGTATATTTTGTCACTCTTAACGCGTCCTACAAAATTCCTACGAGACAGCACTAGTCCGTGAATTTGTGAACAAGATCGGAGATCTAAAGATGCAATCTCTGCCGTGCATCAATGGCGGCGCTGGATCTCAATAGAGATTCTTTAATAATATAAAAATTTTATAAGGCAAATGGGAAAACCCATAAAACAGCAAACGGCCACATAATGCAAAACTATTTAAAATTAAAACGGAACAGTAGAGAAAATCCTATTAGAATGACAAAATAAACTAAGCATCCACTGGAAGGAATCCCAATATCTGCAGACGAATCCGTTTCGGCCTTCCAGGCCTCATCAGTGCAGCTAGGGTATAGACCCAAACAAACGTTCGA